AGTGACTTGATTATTAAATGGCTTTTGTTATGAATAGAAATGGTAGAACAGAGATTTTTTTGGCTTTAAAAAAATGATATTAAACATAATCACAACGCATTTTTCCTAAAATACCTTGTGGCCACAGAAGATAATAGGGAACTGGTCTTTAGAATTCAAATGCAGAAGTGGATTTTGGACCACAAAATGACCTCAGAAACTTCAAGTCTTGTGGTATATTTTGGAAAAGAAAGAGGGAAATACATATCTATTAGATTGAGAAATGTTATTAAGGTGTATTTGCTGATTCATTGATTTGATTAAGAACATGTACGAGAGGGCTCTGGCTAATGACAAACTAGTAGGAGTATCAATGAGTTCCCATTACAGTTGATTAACAACCAAAGAACAAGTGCTTCTTTTTTTTTTCTATTCTGGATACTATTGTATTGCTATATGAAACATTAGATGGATGCTAAGAACAAGTTGGAGATATGGAAGGATACCCTACCCCAAATTATACCAGGCCCCAATGATGAGCGACATTTTATTCAAATACCTCATGTAATAACATTTGACTTAGCAGCTAGATTAGCGGAGTTTAAATAATATTAAAACATACTATAGGGGACATCAGCAAGGATATGGTGAATATTTAAGCCTAACAAGTATCCAAGCGTGATCTTATTAGGTGTCTTTGTCCAATTTCTATGAAGCCTGAAAGATTGAGAGGTATGCTAACCATATAACAAGAATATGCAGAATGAAATAGAGCAATGCAACTTGAGTATTATAAACCACAACTAGAGTAATTATAGAAAACCATAAATGTAAAATAAGGTAGATGAAATAGAAAATGCAAGTAGAGTATTATATTGAATGTCCACAAGGTTGGTGGAAAATTTTATAAACCACTCAAGGCCTGTTAAACTTTGTAGAATGTTTTGAGCAGTCAAGAAACAACCTAATCATAAATTGCATGTAGCCTAAGTCAAGATGTTAAGATAGACGTGTAAGAATAAAAATAGTACAAGATAACAGTATAATACATTTGTCACAAAGTAGAGTTAGCACCTATCAAGGGCAAGTAAAGGAATGTTGACATCCAACACTGACCATGAATCCTCCAATATGGAGGAGTGACTTGATTTCAATCCGTATATGGGAGAAAAGGGGAAAGGACAACCAAAAATTGGGAAGAGGTGCTGAAAAGAAAAGAAAAGAAACAAAACCAAAGTTTTTAAACAAGATAGTGAGATTATGACTCTAGTAGGACAAATACAGGGAGGATTTCATAAGAATTCATATAACTAACCCTAATTGTTTTGGACTTGAGGCTTAGTGAGTTAAGTCACCATGGTGAGATCATCTCTATTGATAAATGATTGTACCTCTGTCCAGGTTTCTTGGTTAGAAGGGGGAGAGGGGTGGCAGAATTCTCATGATGACATTTGTCTAGAAGTATAAGCTGTTTTCCCCTTGTGACATTCGAATTTCATCAATTTTTCAAAATGATAGACTGAAATGCTATGCAGTGGATTGGGTGAGAGTTAGCTTACAAATAAATTACCAAAGCCTACGGCATGTGAGATGCAAGAAGAAAATAAAGGGAAAGGAAGGAATTCAGTGCATGATATACCTGAAACCCAAAATGTGAAGAAAGCCAATCAAGTATGTCAAAGACAGATATATCCTTCCCCCCAGATGAGGCATGAGGAACATTGGATGCTTCACGAACTCTGGACATGGGAAGGTTTTGCACATTACGCAGTGCACGAATTGCAGCTTTGATCTATATTTCCAGAGGGGAAAAAGTAATTATGATGAATTTTACTGAGCACAAGCAAAACCAAAATAACAAATACAGCAGAGATGCAACCTCAGGGAATTCCATGATTGTTGATCTAGCCCCCGTAGCATATAGTGGAAGAATGTTATAATGTTCATATTGTTCCCTTTTCCTCTTAACATCTTCAGCATACCTGTGGGTCTGTAATGATAAATCAATTGTGCATCCAACATTTCAGTACTCCCAGCTGCAACCACAAACGTAAAAAATTGTGCCATGATACTGATATTACACAAATCAAACCTGTTCATCAACTTTTGTAGCAGGTACAACAGTTTTTAACACATCATACAAAACTGTTGCAAACTGCAAAATCTTAGCCATCTCCTCCCTTCAACGGTAAGCACAAACCAAAAAGAATTAGTAAATGAATGCTAAATAGGGCATTTCAATAGTTCAAACTCGAGCCTTACGGTTTTTTTGTATGTGGGCCTTCTCTGATATTATCCTCATAGTATTTCTGATAATACAACAGGATTTCTTTTGGATCGTTTCTTGCAAGCTGAGGCCTTGTCTCTTCTTCTTCCTGTAACAAACAAACATTTAGGACATTCTAAATCATTCTTTAGGAATTCATGATATGCCATTGCATTGTAGTTTTGATATTGACGGAAACTAATAAGATGTATCAAAAACTATTAACCAGTCAAATCATGAAGCACAAACTTAGACAATGAATACGATAATCATCAATAGTAGAGAAATGCTAGAACAAACCGAAGGCATTATGAAGTTATTATTATTGTCCAATTCATTTTGTAAACCAGTCTTCCAGATACCTCATTAAACCCTATATTTCAATTTTTGGAGAACCAAAATAAAATTACAACTTAATGCTATAACTCTCTATACATTCTTTCTCTCTTTTAATGATACTACTTACTTACCAAAATTAATTAATTAATTAATTAAATTTCAACAATAAATAATAGTGGTCTAATTTGAAGAAGATCATATTTATTACTGAAGAATATTAAGAATCATTTAGAGAAAACTGAGAAAGGAGAAATAACATGAATTCCCCAAAACAAAGAATGTCATTCAACAAAGAAAGAAGAAGCAATCATAAAGACCAATAATAATTTCTAGGACTACCTTCTCAAGTCTATGCAACAGATAGGTCTTAAACTGTCGGACACCACGGCCACTAGATGTTGGATCCATCCTATGTGCCTTCTCAAATGCATGGAAGCGACCTGGAAGAATGATATGGTATTAAGGTCACCTTAAAATAAATTATCCATCATACAAGAATGCTTAAAGTACCTTTGCCATAGAAAATTTATAGCTATATAAAGCTTTAGTATAAAAACTTAACCTAAAGGCGTGAGCCAAATTACCGCCAAAAAAGAAATTAATGTCTTCTGCAGAAAAGCAATAGTCAGAGTAACAAAAACATTCCGAACATTTGTTTATTTCTGGAAACTATAAATTTCCGTTGTGCTTTCAACTTCTCCAACTACAATTGCAACTCACATCCGTCACAAATCATAGTGCCGAAGCACCTATCTTTTACTCAAACAATACACACTTGTCACTGCTAACAAGAAGAGGAAACAGCCAGGGGTATCTACAAAGCTAATGTATTACAATACTCTCTTTGGTTATTATTATTATTTGACAAGTTGTAGTTATGGAAAATACAGGAATTACATTTTCTTTTTTCTTTTTACTGTGTAACATAAGAAACTAGGAACTTTGCGTTAATATAATGAAGAGCTAAGAAAATACAACTTTGGATAGGTGTTCAAAAAATAACGAAACAACCTGTAAGTTTACATTACCAAGGGAAATGCAATTTAGATTTGGTAACGTGTAAAGTGACATTATAATAGTAATCATTCAACATAAAACAGAAACAAAATGTGAATGAATTGTAACTAAAACAATCGCAATTTAACAAATAAGGAGAGAAAAATATGAAACTAACAGAGATAAGCGACTCTAGGGTTATCCTCTTCAATTTCATTAGCCACACGAAGAATTGGAGCAATGACGGCCAAGGACGAAGGCACCAGCTCACTGTCCATAGCCGAGCTGTCTTCGTTCTGCCAATCGAACATCATGGTCTGAGCTCGACCTATCCCCCTGGACTGCGACCGCTGTGGGACCGCACTGGTACTAGCCATGGCGGCTTGCCGTTAAACCACTCAGAATAAGCAGAAATTAGGGAAACTACTCTTCTGAAAAAGTTGTTGTTGATGTGGTGGTCGTAGGTAGTGTTTGTGCGTGGTTTTTTGTGAAGAGTGAACATCGTATTTTGGGTATTTGTATAAAGAAAGAGAAAGAGAGATACTTTGGATGGGGAGTGGGGCAAAGTGGTTGCTCTTAGAGGAAGAAAAGAATGAATGGGAAAGAAAATTGAAATTAGTGCTTTTGCTTTTGAAGATGTTTTTGTTTTTTGTTTGATAAACAAAGGAAACGAAGAGATAAGAACTCTGCTTTTGATGAAGAAGCTTTTCCCATGGTGAACAGAATAGACTTTTGGTTTGTAGTGGAAGCTGAGATCGGAACTTTTAAAGGAACAACTGTTTCCTGGTATTAGGTTCCCTCTACTTCTCCCTCAACAAACATAAACGGCTAACTTATTACTACAGCAACTAAAATTTGAAAATTCAACGTATTAAAAAGATATTCTTCTTTAATTGAATAATTACTGCTGTCAGACGTCAGTACGTTATTCTTAAAGTATGACTGACATGCGCTTCAACCTCAAGTAAGGTATATGAAAATGAAACCATCTGTCAATAAATGAAAGTTGAATTCAGTTTTTATCATTAAATAAATAAATTAAATTAAATTTATTTTGTATTAATTTGGCTGGTATTAACAAAAATGTTAACTATTTATCTCTGTAATATCATTTTACTTAAAATTTTAGAATAATAATAATTAAATAAATCCTGTAGTGATAGTTCGCCTGAATTTTCAAGAAAATTTGGAGACATTACCATTAGAAATTTCAACTGAATTATGTTTGTATGTATATGATATCTTTTTGAAAATGCTTCATTATAAATGATCTTCTTTATCAATTTACTTTCTGCGCACCCCTTCCAAGTTTTCTTTTTCATTTATCGAAGGTTTTATGAAGAATTTCATAACACATTTTGCATCAAAACTCAGATAACAACGACAATACTCCATTTCTTTTCAATACAACACTTTGATAAGCCAAACAAAAAACAAATTTCCTTAGATTCGGATGGGAAAACAACATATTCTCCTAAATTAATCCTCTGCTATATTGCCTATATACAGTGTAAACTCCCAAATTGTTGCCCTGGTTAACAATAATGTGTCAAGTTATTTTCACCACCCTAAATTCGACAAACCACCAGATTCTCTGAAATTATGATGCACCAGAGGGTGGACGGCACTCTCACTCCAGGCAGACTTTCACATTCTGCCCTTTGCCTCACTTTTTTTCCAGCTTAGTAATGCATATGCTTATATGGGACTTGCTCTTGACACCTGCAATTTAAAGCAAATTTATTTGATACTGGATAACCAAGAAAGATGGTAGAACCATAGCTCTTTCAGTGTTTTAGAATATTTTGAGATAACCAGAAAGAAATCATATTAATGCTATCATTAAGTCAATTATCATCTGGATGAGAAATTTGAATAACAAAAAGCTAGATGAGCTTTCACATCTCATACTGACCAGTCAAAAACAGTTTTCAAACAGCTTGGACTTAACAAAGTAATCCAACCACAACTGAATCAAAAACTCTACATAGAGATTTCAGATAAAACACAGACAATATAAAGCAGTGCAACACAGAGAGAGTATGTAATCTTATGTTGGCTATAACAATTCATTTCCTGATAACTCTATAATCACTTGTAGTCCCTTTAAAAACTTTTTAATAACTTAGATCTCTGAAATAGGGTTATGGAGATCAACATCAGAAGGAACTTGAATCAGTAATTATCTTCTGTAAAATAACAATAAATTGAGTTACAAACCTGATTCTTTAAACTGGCTGCAGTAGCCCAGTACCCAGGATTTTCCATTCTTTCTGACCCACAACTTATAAAAGCTATCACTCTCGACTGTTCTTCACAATTAACAGCCACGGGGGGTGGCAATTCTCTCATGACCCATAACAAAAATGCTGAGGGCACTGATGAACCTGCTTTGGTTTTATGGGAAACAAAATCTACATCAAGAAAATTATAAGAAAAGGGTGAACCTGTGGTCCACACTTCCAAAGCAAGATGTAAGTATCTATAAATAAACAGTCAAGATAACCAGTCAGACAAACTCAAGATGTAATGACTACAAACAATATGGACATTGCTTGCCAGGTTATTAAGGTGAAAAAACCTTTAAAGTGGATGCTATAATGCTCAAACATACCATAGTAAGCAGCAAGTTGAAACATTAAGGCAAGTAAATAACCTATAAAATAGTATAAGATCAGCAGAACTGGTGCCCCTACTCCATTCATTTTCTTCAAATTCCAGTGATAAGAAAACTGCCAACAGAACGATAAAGTGAAGTTTAAAAGGGAAAAAACAAGCTAAACCAAAATATGAGAATATCTTTAGACATTATAGACAATACTAAAACTTACAGGAATATCTGTTAGAAAAGCTATCAGAGCACTTGAAGAGAAACATATAACAGAGACAACAGCTAAACCAGCAACCTGCATAAGTGACAAATTTTCCAAAACTTAAAAGACATACAGAATAAAATTTGGCTGTTATATTTAAGCATGGGGAGCCTAAACAATTTCAATCTTAAAGAGGCAACTAAACATATCAATTCATACAAAGAAGGTACAACACAAAGATCGTGAAAGCACAAGAAAAAATAACTAAGTTTAAAAATTTATTGGGTGAGTACCTTCCTCATCTCTGAAGAAGTTCTCTCAGACCTTACTCTCCTCAATTTGCAAAATAGCAGAAGACCTGAAGAACAATTTATGGAAAATAACAACAAAAGTTTTTCTGAGACATACATTAGGATTTACATCAATAGCACTTCAAACAAATTAGTGGAACTTCACATCAATAAACAAAGTTGTAATCATGCACATGAGCCGAAATGAAAATAGATTTAGAGGTTCTTTGTTTTTCAAAGACACAACAAGCAAAACAAACACCTGGAAGTGAATTTAAGTTCTGAACAAAAACATGTCTCTCTTTTCATCCTAATACATAATGCTACATGCAAATGGCTACATTACTACGGTACTACATTTTTGGCATTTAATCCTTCTCAGATATAGTTCTTTAGTTGGCTCCATGCCAATCATGTCATCCCTCATGGCTCAGCAAGAGTTCTTCAGTAGTTTCTTTTTTTATAAGAAAATATGAAACTATATTAATAAAAGAAAACGATGTACATGGACCTAGTTTTCCCACAACCAGTACTAAAAATATCCTGATCAAGGGTATCACACACGACACAATCAATAATTCTGAGATGTACTAGATATTTGCGTACATTATCCTGTTTGCAGAAAACATGAAGATAATGAACAAAGAACTTCAACAAATAATATTCACAGCAAACTGCAGAAAAAATTAAACTACTTGCTCACCGTAGCAACCCAGAGCTCCTCCCAATAAAAGAACTGCTGCGGCAAAAATATCTACATATACCTGTCCATAATTGCAATAATTAACAACCGTACTATCAACATTACAGAGAAAGAAAAGCCCCACATTCAGAGAAGAATTGCAATACAATCAAGTGAAAATTTAGGATAAGTTCATAAAAAGGTGTTCTGAAGGTTGATAGTGAGCCATTATGCAAAAGAAAACACCAAGTTATATGTCTAAGTCCAATCTATAGAAGCATTAGCGTGGGGGAAGATAGTTTGAAACAAACCATGTATATAGAATACATTGCATACCTGAGCAAATAATGAAGAATCAATAGGATTTTTCCCCGCACCAATCCAGATTATCATAGCAAATGATATCATTAAGATAAACATAAGCATAACAACCTAGTGAAAAACATGAGAAAAAAAAAAGTGCATGAAAAACAGATAACAATATTTTATAAAATGAAAGCAAAAAGAAATAGCTGAAGAATAAACAGTATACTTCTATCTCTCATACCACAATCACGATTTTTTGCCGGCTACCAACATGAATGCCTTTCAATGGGCAACATCTCCATCGATCATGAATGTTTGATACACCTGGTTTACTCTTCGAATTGTCTAATAAAGCCTGCTGGGTACTACTTTCTTCATCATCATCCTCTTCATCATTCGCCTGATGGCAAAGGTCGACCCTATAACATCATTGCCCATGGAAGCATATATGTATCTATGAATTATACTGCATCATTCTAAATTTAATATCTCGGGATACAAACTTAGTGTCAACCAGTGAATTTGTCAACAATTTAATATTCCTTCACATATATATATCAAAGTGGATGGTTTCAATATACTCATTTATTTTTAAATTTTGTATGTATTATAATTTTATAATTTTATATTTTTATTATATATATTAGTCTCTTAGTATTGTTTGTCCCCAAAAAGAACATACCCTTGTTGGGAAACACCTCACCTTCTGTCAATATATTCTTAAGGTTGTTTCCCTTACCAAGTAACTATTTTACTCAAGTTATGCATCATACAGCATAAGCAAATATGCAGTCTGATTTCAGGGCATATTTGCTATAAGGAGGTTATAAATTATGAAAGAAATGATTGAAAAAATAATATGTCAAGATGCACATTTGCATACACATACACATAAATTACATGCACATAAATATAGTCTTGATGCATTCATAAATACTATCTCATAGTTAGTCGAAATCAAAGGGTGTAACTTGTAAAATTTGACTACTGTTTCATAGTACAAGTGGAGAACCAGAAGGAACTAAAACATAAAGTAAAAAAGAAAAAGCACAAGAGGTTTGAGTTTTAAAGTGCGAACATACAAGGGAACTAAACATGTCAAGGTGTCATATAACTCACAAGGACACAAGTTGTATATGATAATGATAGATCATAGTGATCCAATGTATTTCAATAAAAGAACAGTTATTATCAGAAAGCGTACTGAAAACTTACCAGAAAGACAGGAGTAGAAGAAATGCAGCAAGAAGCAGAATATTGGGTGAAGCTGCAGCATATTTGATCATGTAAAACCATTAAAAAAAATAAATATTGAAGTTGCATATCAATTATCGCAAGTCAAAGAAACATACCCATGAGGACAAAGCCACAAGCATGTGACCAGCAAAACCACCTTTCACAAGTAGCAAGGACTGTAGATATAAAATAGATGGAGTAACCTGAAAGACGAATGCATTACAAGGCTTAATCATCCGTTGAAGGATTTTTTTTACCCACTCTTATATGGGCTCTAATAGTTTCAATTCCAGCATTATAGCCAATAATAATCAGTGCTAAAAAGCTCAGTAGTTTGTTTCAATGAATTTTTGAAAAGATATTCAAGGTCTTGAAGGCTTTTTTGAAGCATTAAAATGTTCAAAAAACATTAGCAAAGAATTCTTTAAAAGCAGAAATCCACTCACAAACAGTTTTCTGAAACCATTGAGATCGTGAATTAAAACTTAAAAGTATAATGCATGAGTTTGTTTTTTAAATTACAGTAATTTAAAAACTGATTCCACTAATTAAAGGACCTGGCAAGCTGAGAATCATGCTTTTAGTTTAATTATATATGACACAAGGAAAATCTCAACGATATGAGTGATGTTTCCAATTCTTACCCAAATTGGAAGAGCCAATGATGAGATGGAGTACCTGAAATTGACATTTTATTTTCATCAAAGAGGATACAACCAGGAAAGCAGATTTTATGAACAATATGAAGAAGAATTAGCATAAAAGACAAACATATGAACTCAACATAATAGAAAAACTATATTTATTTTCTTCACATGAACCAAAGATTTAAAAGAAAGAGCACAATGAGTTTTGCAACTTTCAAGAAGAAAATAGAAGCTTACAAGGTTGTCTTGTAATATGAGTTCAAGTTCTATAATTAAGTAAAAGATGATCTAACTTACTTTTTGTCGAGTCCATCCAACAAGTTGATTCCGCATGTGAATCCTGGTGAGCTGCAATGAGGAAGTGGCCCAGATATGTAAGTACCATGCAAAGAATCAAACAGGCAGAGTTAAACATTGATGACTAAAAATTGAAAGAATGGAACATCACACAAGAAAAGTTCAGCACAAAAAGTGCATACACATTGATTCCACAAAATATCAACTAAAGAAAGTCCACGAGGCACTGCCAACACTGTATTTCTCCTTCAAGATGTATTAAGTCAAAACAAGAGAGTATAATTGATCATACTTGTCTTCATGTTCAAACTGCAAACTAATTTAGATTATCAGGCCACAGAAATAGCTCAGTTCATCTTTAGTTTTTCAGGGCCTCATGAGTAAACACTGTAATCAATACTATTTAGCTACAAACTTACCAGTCACCACCATAAATCTTGATAGAATTTGATTAAAACATAATTCTTAAGACCTAATCATAAGTTTGGTTCTGGCCCTTATTTTACATAGAAATACTGCAAAAATATCTGTAAATTTTATGTTTATGTTATGATCAGGTAGATGTACCCAATGATAAAAGTCTAATAAAAAAATGTTTTGAAATAACCAGATTTCAGCATTTGGATCAGCTCATGAGACCAAATGAATCCAATACACAATTCAATAAAATTATTCAGCAATTGAGAAAGAAAACAATAGCATTACAAATAAAGAGGAAAAGGTAGGGGAAACAAACCTGATAGAATGCAATAAAAGCAAGAAATCCTTCAACAGAAGCCAGAGCTATATTGGCTACAAACAAGTCAAGAGGATAACAACCAAAGATGGTTGATCCAAAAATCATTTTCCGTTCAGATTGAAGCAAACAAAGAAAGTAACAAGAAGATGTTTTTCTCAGTTTGCATATCAGGGAACGAGAGAACGAGAGCTGGTGTTTGTTTTTATCGTGTTAGGGTATTTATTTAAACATGGGTTTGACGAGGATGATGATGATGATGTGTTGTACGGACAGGGACTAAGGGGAGTAGACAAGAGATCTGTTTACTGTTGGATTTGTTATTTGATCTCTGTCTCTGCCATTCACTGTACTTAATTTATTTAACAATTATTTGGTTATTTACATAATCCCCCAAAGATTTGAGAAAGATTATGAGTAACCCTAAGGGCTTTTAATTATATTAATGAACATAAACCTAATTTTAATGTTTTTATAACTTTTATTTAATAAATCCAGTTTCAAATAGATAATCCTTATGAAAATCAGAAAACAAATTAATTGACCGGATTAAAGTAAATAATGTGATAATTAGTGAACAGCACCAAGTATTTTGTATGTTAAATATTGCTAGTTGAACATTATTTTAATAAACCTAAATTTATTATGATTATTTGTGTATGATAACACCATAACAAAGGACATCAGCGAAATAGAAACGTGTGGCCATGGTTGTTTGGCTCTGGATTTTCCATAAGTGAAACTCTCATGTCCTCTTTTTTTTTTTTTTTTTTTTTTTTGGGCGGGGGGCCTTTTTGCACTCACTCCCTAAAGGTTAGTTAATCATTCTTGCTTCCTAACTTGCTGAAGAGAAGGTATTCATTAACATCAACCGCGGGTACTCTACGAGAGCACTGGCACCGGATGAAATAGCTAAGGTTACTGCAACAGGAAGAAGGGAAGGTAATAGAGTTCGAAAGGCACTGCGCTTACGCATTCAGAAGACCGGCTATGAATTTAAAATAAACACCGGACAAACAAGAAGCAGGGCATGGACCTATTTACTATTGATCTTGTCCTCTGTCTCTTCACTCCTGACCTAAAAGGCCTAGATTCAAGCTAAAAAAGAGGAGTACAGAAGAAAGTCACAGTCACACCGCATAGGCGGAAGAAGAGATTCCCAGCTATCTAATAAGACTAATAGCCGTACCGCAGAAAGAAGGTCAACCTCACCCAGGTAATCACAGCTTTCTTCCCCTCAGGTCAAAGAGTAAGAACTGCTTTCGAGCTAACCTTACATGGAGTACCTGCCAACAAGCAACAAGAGTTCTCCTTCACGGCTAAATAAGCATTCGTTCGGAGTTGACAAGGGAGAGGGCGTACTTCCTATATAGTTATGATGGATAGGCTGGTGCACTCCCTTTGAGGTAAGAAGAGTTCCTTTTGATTCAATTGCAAGAAAACAACCTCTTTTTAGAGTTTTATATGAACACTAAGCCAAACAAAACAGTCTATTTATACGGATTCCTAAAAAATGAAAAAATAGACTATCATAATATATGACAGAAGCATCACTCTGTCTGTTGGATGCCCTTCTTCCTAGCAAGATCAGATCAAGAATAGCCTTTGGCTAGGAAGCACAGTCAGACTAGTGCCCCGCCCAAAGCACCAAGACTGTTATTCCGCAGCAAAGAGACAGGACCGGGACAGTAAAGAGACAAGACCTCTTATGCCGGAAAAGTCAGAAAGTAAAGTGATCACAGAAACTTCAGTAAACTTCTTCCCAATGGGGCGACCGAAGGAGAAGAAAGATACGATCGGAGTTATATCGAACGAGGGAGCGATACTGCCCTTGTGCCCTTGCTCTTACTGTTTGTTGTACGCCTGGACCTGGTGGGGCTGGGGAACTCCCTAAGCTAACACCACTTGGAGACACATTTCAAGCCAGCCAGTCACACTCGTTACCTGAACAGCTGCTTAACAAATGACGCAAAAGAAGTTCTTGGCGCATTTCTTCATTTTGTACTCGCCAATGGTTCCCAGGAATTGATTCATTTGATTCTTCGTGGCCCAAATCATCATAATATGGTTCAAAGGAAGAAGAGTCAAGAGTCTGACATCGGCCAGTGAGTTCCCGAAAAAGGCAAGCCAAGGGAGGACATACAAAGTCACCAACATCAAGGGTAGCGCTAGTGCTCGTCGGAAATGTGTAACAAGCTCGAAGTGTTCTCTACGTGAGAGGGAGGTTTAGGTTTGGACCCTCCTCTCCTCCTTGTCAGTAGTGGGCGCAGCGCAGAATGATTGAGTTTCCCCGAAACAGCATTCATTTTGAATCCCGGATCGGTCGCTTGACAGCGCCTCGCTGTTCTCTCTCGGCGGAAAAGGCAAATTCATTCCTTTCCTGCTTTGCCGTAAAACCACAAATTCCCCGGCCCGGTTATCCGGTAGTTAGTGCCTCTCCATTTCGGAATGAAATGATAGGAGCGATTGCTCTGTCATAAAGAAGGGAAGGAAAGATTTTAGTGATTAATCGCCTGAACCTGCCTCTCCTTCTTGCCGCCTCAGAATATTCCTTCCGGTGGGACGAGGTCGCATGATTGAATCGGTTCTGGTCTTCGCTGAAAAAGTGAGGCTTTACTTGATGAGTAGACCTTAGGTACCGCTTATTGGGACCTGCAAGAAGCTGACTTTCTTTGCTTTCTTTCGTCACAGTAATAGAAAAAGTCAAAGCAGCAGACCAGTAGTCCCATTATCCACTTTTAGACACATTTTTGAAGAAGGTTCCGTTTAACACTTCTTGGCAAGCAGGAAATAAGTGCTTTGTCGGTTGAAGGTGCTCTCTTCTCTACTCCGTCACATAGGATAGAGGCTCACTCTGAATCTTAGTATCCTCTGCATCTTATGCGGTCTTTGTCTCGTCTCTTGGTTTCAGGAGCGCTGTGAGCAAGAGTTCTCCTCCGAAAGTGGCTTTGACGGAGGGAAGTGGCTTCAATTCAATGGAATGCTTTGTTGGTTCAGTCAAGGGGTCCGGTTTTTCGGTTAGTGTGGAAGGGAGGCGGATGAGATTCCGAACGGAGAGAACTATACCAAGAGAGCGCGGGGCAGAGAAAATAATCAAAGACTGACCTTGACCCTTCCCTTGATTTGAATGAACTAAATAAGCCCATATCCTACAGGGAAGGGGCTTCCCCTGGGCGGTACCCATTCGATTGTTGGTTTAGTACTACGTAAGCTGTAACTCTTTCTAGATTGAATCGGAATTGGCTTTAGTTCGAACTTTGAGCCGTAGAAATGGAATAGCAAGCGGAAGTTTGATCAATTGCTGATTCAAAGAAGGGTCTCTTTCGAAGCGGTCAATCGAAGAAATTCCTTCTTGACTTTCTGGGCAAGCAAGATCTTTTCTTTCTCCATCTCGCTTTACTCACTATCTATACGAAATAACGATCTCAACGGCTGGCTGACTAAACCTATCTATTGATTAAGGTAAGGAAGGCGGGTTCATCGCTATCTAAGCGCAAACGTGACTAAGCGGCAGCTGGTCTAGGTGTTCGAAGCATGATTCATCGACAGGGAGAAAGCTCAGTCATTACAACTTGGGCAAAGCCGATGCTTTCCTATGAAATGGAGAATCTATGGCAACGTGAGAAGCTAAGTTTCTATTTGATCACTTTAAATAGGTAGCTCAAAGCGCCAACCCTTCTTCCTCTTAGACACTACTACTGATCAGTATGACTTTCTTTCTTGAGTAAGGTAAGGGGGTACGGAAACGTCCTTTATCATTATCACAGCTTGACAGGGATTCATTAAAGGAAGAAGCGAAGTCGATTCAATCCATATCTACCTGTTGATCCAGCTATGGAACACTCAACAAGCGAATCTGTACTTGCGCGGATGCAAGCTTGATCGGAGAATCGTGGCGTGGTAGCTTCTTTCTGTTCCAAAGCAGCTGTCATGAATGTGAATGAGAAGATCCAGAGTAGACGTCGAACTGAGAGTTTATTATGCCTATATCCCCGGATCGGGCTTAGATTAGAGCATTTCATTTCACGTCCTGGTCGAGAAGAATGCGGAAGGATCTTTCGCGGAACATTCTAATATGGAATTGAGATTCACTTGGAAAGATGCTCAACCTTGGTATTGGGTATATGGAATTAAGCTTAGACACAGTCTCTAAGGAGGAAGGAAATAAGCCAAGTCTTCGGGAGAGGGATCGCCTAAGATTCTCTTATGATAGATAGGATAGCGTCGTCCCCTATTTACGATAAAACATAGAAAGGAACACCAAAGCTGTTACATCAAACGTTTAGTTCTGTTCCCGGAAACCACTGCATTACATCCAGCCTCTTTGGCTATAAGGAGAGAGTCAGAAGCAAAGTGGGAGAATTAGGAAGAAAAACAAAGATCAACTACTACCAAAAAGGTGATACCCCGCTGAAGGCAGCAAGCACCATTCACTTGCTGGAACGAGGCCTTTCTCAACTCTGGTCTATTGACGCTCTTCCGGTCAAGTCCTTTGTAACTGACTCCACAGGGCTCATGCAAAAAAGCGACTGGGTTAGTTTGGCCTTTAAAGCTGACCGAAACACGTTATACCTAACGAACTAGCGTAGCTGTGGGACTCTCGCTAGTATTGACCCCCTGGACTAGTACGATGGTGGCTCCTCATCCGAGTCAGCAGCTGGACTGGAAAATAGATACAAGAATGTTATAGAGTTCCCATCTTTCCGATTGGCTCGCTTTTCTCGAATGCAGGGCGTTAAGCACCAGGAAACTCGCCTTTTTAGTAAATAAAGCGCTGTGGGATTAGTCAGCAAATCACATATATTAGGTATCGCACGGAAAGAGAGATGGATTCTCCCTTCCGGGCAAGTTCTGAGGAACGTCGACTTTATAGTCTTATCCCCACTGGGTAAGTGGGAATCAGATTCATGATTGATTGAACTAGGGTAGCGCGCTACTTCAAAGCTTGCACCGGCAACGACTTTCACTCCTAAATAGAAAGGAAGGAAGGGAAGAGGTAACTCACCAACAGGAGGAGGATATGAAATAGAGCACCAAAAACCGTTCCACTCGAGGGAACTTCTAACTGAAGCTGCTCACGTTTTTCAGCAGGGTCGGGCTACGGGGTCCTTTTCCAACCCCTTCTTATGCGTTCGGGGATGGCCCTTTGAGTTGGCTCATGGCTGCTATCTCTTCTAACTTTAAGGATGCCAACTCGGCCTTTCGACTTAGTGCGTCGGCAACTTGATTGGATTGGTCTCCAGGCTTGTACTCGAGGACCATGCCGAAACCCGCCAGAAAGTCTTGCCGCCGTGCCGCTTGGGGGCTCTTCTGAGTAAGGAATAGCTGTAGTCACGTTATC